ATATGTATATATATGCATATACATACACATACATACACACACACACACACACACACACATATATATATATATATATATATATAGATAGATATGTGTATGTATATATGTATGTATGTATTCGTATTCATGTTGACAAATGTAGAAAAGGTATAGATGAGCATGAATATATTCCAAATACAAGAGGTGTATGTGAGGTGTATTTTATATCCTCGTCAGAAATACAAACACCAGAGAAACACCTGACGGCTGTGACCTCCCATTCGTTATCCGCATAATTGATGCTGCAACCTTCAGATGACTTGAATCTGCCCGATGCTGTGTTGACATTTTTCTCCGTCGCGATGTAAGCAGCATCCATAATTCTTCTTTTCCGTTTGTTCAATCCTCCATGGATTACTTCTGCTTCCTTCCAGTTCGGTGGATGTTCAGCTTCATCTAGAGGTACCACCATGGCGGTGGAAGTCCTGCGGTGACGATGTTTGCTGATCCTGGTGTTGAAACTGCGGCCCGTTTAACCAAAGGATGTTGATCGCCTGGGAAATGCTACATGGCGGTAATATGAGAGAGTTATTATTCGAAGGTGCAGGGTCTGATCACCACCTTTCTGAAGTTTGAGAGGAAGCGTCTGGGACATTTCTGTTTCATGGAAGAATTAATTATATAGGCAACCTCATCCTCAAGAAATTCAGGGCTGCAGATCCTCAGTGCTGTGAGAAAGAATATATTACAATACTAGATTTTTTTTTACTGCTTTAGGCCGAGTAGTAATGGATATAATCATCTTCTTTCGTAGGTTTTCTGCCTTCAGAGAAATGTTGGCCGTCGTCATCCCAGTGGATCAGACACACACACATATGTATATATGTGTGTGTGTATATATACATGTATATATATGTATATATGTATATACATATATGTATATGTATATATATGTATATATATTTATATATATATATGCATATATGCATATATATATATATATATATATATATACATAATATATATACATAATACATACACACACACACACACATATATATATATAGATAGATATAGATATAGATATATATGTGTATCTGTGTGTGTGTGTGCATATCTATGAATATTCATATGTAAATATACATACATATATATATATATATATATATATATATATACATATATATACATATATATGTATATGTATATGCATATATATATATATATATATATATATATAAATATATATAAATATATATATGCATATGCATATATATACATATATATAAATATATATATATGTATATATGTGTGTGTGTATAAATATACATATACATATATATATATATATATATATATGTATATGCATATATATATATACATATATATATATATATATATATATATATATATATATATATATGTATATATGTATATATGTATACATATGTATATGCATATGTATATGCATATATATATATATATGTATATGTATATATATGTGTATGTGTGTGTTGATGTTTACATATATCCATTCATATATGTGTGTGTGCGCACACAAACACACATACCCACATACACACACACACACACACACGCATATATATATATATATATATAAACGTATACGTATATATACACATGTACATATACATACATGCATATACATAAGCACACACACATACTTATGTGTGTGTGTTTATGCGTATATATATATATATATATATATATATATATATATATATATGTGCATATATATATATATGTATATATATTTATATCCATATATATGTGTGTGTATGTTTATATATATACATATATATGTTTATATATACATATATATACGTGTGTGTGCGTGAGTGCGCACACAAACACACACACATATATATACATATATATATATATATATATGTGTGTGTGTGTGTGTGTGTGTGTGTGTGTTTGTGTGTGTAAGTATATATACATATATATATACACACATACGTGTGTGTGTGTGAATACGTATGGTTGTGTAGAATAAAGTATGAATGTATGTATAATACATTCATGCTTTAAAACCTGCAATGGCATGCGGAAATCGCCGAGGTCTACCTTTTCCAATGAAAGATAATCCGATGTGCCTCTAACTGCGACTGAGGCAAAAGTGTTTTTTAAGAACTTTAAAACTGAATAAGTCACGCTCGCTGGCCAGTCGTCTTGACCATTTGTATTTGAACAGCGGAAGTTATGGCACACACTTTGTCCTTGAGGAAAACAGTGATGAAAATAGTCTTGGCTTTATTGTATATGTATATATATATAATACATATACTGAACACATACACACACACACACATATATATATACATATCAATATATATACACATATTGTATGTATATATATGTGAAGGCGGATAATTTCGGTTTGTTGATTATTTGACGCCTGGCCTGGGCCCTTTACCAGTCATTGCACTTCTCCGTGGTTAACCTTTTACTGAAAGCTCATATGTTCACTTGCGGGAGATAATGGCAACACCAGAACATTTTTACCAATCTATTAAGACCGAATATACTCATATGTAATCCTATTCTGAATAGCGTGACCAAGACAACACTCACAACATAAAAGTGATGGCACAGTATACAGCGGTCGGCAGACAGATAGGTGCATACAGATAGACAGTGGCCAGTGAGCGAAAAGCGGCCAGCCAGCAGGCAAGGCAGCGGCCAGCGGGCATGGCAGCCAGTCTCTGCGTCCGAACTGATCCCTGTGTCCAATCTCATTAGATATCGGCTTTGCGATGTCACTTCCCGTCGCCTTACATCAGTTTATTTTATTTCACTTCCCTGAAACGGCTGTTAACATGAAATAACATCCTTACCGAGGCTCAGTTGTCTCTCAACACAATACCTCCTCGGCTGAGCACGCAAGTCACGTCTTTTTTGTCCGGGGGTTAGAACCAGGCTGTGTGATTTTAGGGAGCACCCCCCTCCCCCTCGTTACCTGTGACTATTACTGATTTATTTATTTTTCCATTTTTGTGTTTCATATTTCTTACTTCCACCACTTTATTACTATGTTGCTTATTTTCTCTGCATTATTCTTGTATTCGTCAGAATGAATTATTACATTAAAAAGTTGGTTACGAGTCCCTGTCACTAACACCTGTCATCTGCTAATTCAGAGCACTTGAATAGTAAATTGATCATGAATAATAAATGATAAATAGTAATATATAGTGTGGCATTCCTTATAAGAGTTTAAAAAATGAATCTCCTTTGGTTCAGGTTTCATTCATGCGGGACTCACACTCCGCCTTATCCGCTGTTCCATAGGGGCGCTTTTCCTTTTCTCTCATTTCTTACCTCTTCTCATCTACTCCTTTACACACACACACACACACACATATATGCATACTCACACATATATGTGTGTATGTACATATATACATTCATAAATATATGTATCTATATATATGATATACACGATATACATATACACATATATGCACACATACATATATATAATGAATACACACACATACACACATGCATACATAGATAAAAAAAAAAAAAAAAAAAAAATGTATATATGAATATACATGTGTATATATAAATATGTATGTGCATATATATGTGTATATATCAATATATACGTATAAACGTATGCATGTATGTGTGCGTGTGTGTAATGTTCTTTGGATCAAATTTGCTTCCAGTCATATGCATCCCAACTACACTTTTGTAAACAAAGAGAACACTGTTAATTTATTGGTTTTATTTTTGCATACAGCTATCTATGTAGTGCATGCATTGTTCATAGTCATACATCATGCTCCTTGATTCCAATTAACAAGCTAAAGAAAGACGTCTGTTCAGGCCCTGTAGACGCATTCCGCGGTGTGGGGGACTGGCTTGAACGCAGAAACGTCGACTCCGTTGGCGCTGAACACGGCTGCGCACTTCTCCGTCGCCGGCCCGGAGGTCTGCGGAGTGCGGGAGTACACGAAGCCAAACTCAGCCTTGTAGTTGTTGAAGGCGATGCAGGAGTACACGCAGGAGTAGGTGTGGTAGTCGGTGGCGACCACTTGGAAGGGAGCGGCAATGGCTGTGGGGAAAGGATAGTATGGTTGTAATGCACAATGGATTACTTAAAAGTTAGTGTGTATACTTACCCGTGTTTATGTTAAGTGTCACAGAGAAAGAAATACTTTTCGTCACACGACACTTACTGGACGGGAAATCAACGAGCATGTGTGCAGCTGGGAAGTCCTTGGTCGGGTAGATCTTGCCCACCATCCTGAGGTAGTCGTTGGAAGGGCTAAAGCCGGCTGTGGTGACTTGGAATCCGCTGTCCAAGGCTGAGTACTCGAAGTTGGAGTGGATGCAGCGAGTGAAGGGCTGGTAAGGGTTGTCGATGATGGAGGTCTGATACCAGCGGCCGGAATACTGTTGGCAAGTGCATCTAATCGTGAGACATTGCATGTGAACATGTTAATTATGGAGAGGAGCAGAGTTCGGAATGAGGAAGTGTGAATTATCAGAGCTTTACCATGCGAAGGTCGAAGTTGTCTTGGATGGCCACGTTTGCACATTTCCCGGGGACCAAGAACTCGGGAATGGCGTCAGCCGAGACCACAGCCACGAGGAGAGCAGAAATGAGTACGGTCAGCATGGTGTCCTTCTGCTTGTCTTGCCCTCGAATGCTAAGGCCTAGGCTTTTATGCGGCGGAGGGCTGGGGGCGTGTGAAGGGGCGGGGCTTACGAAGCTCCTCCTAGTGCCCCTGTTTCTTTTAGTCAATAAATAAACTTTTTCTTTGTTGTTTCTTATGATCCTAAAGTCTTTTCACCCTTAGAGCATTGCCGTGTGTTGAATCGAGAGAGGGAAACGGTAATTAAGGAAAGCTGGATCAGTTTTTGCTGACTAGACGAAGCAAAAGGGCGGGGAAGGGGCGTCGCTGCTGGACGTCCCCTCCAGGGAGCCTCGCGCTACAAAAGCAGAAGGAAGCACCACGGAGCAGCACACGAGAATCCCTGGCAACATGAACAGCTCACTCCTAGTCCTTGCTCTCGTAGCAGTGGTCGCTGCCGATAAAATCCCCGACTTCGTGGTTCCAGGAAAGTGCCCTGCGCTGGACAGGAAGGCCCTGTTCGATTCGCAGAAGCCCAACTATCCTAAGGTGCGTTGCCTTGGCGGTAGTCATGCGGGCGTGGAGACCTCGCTCACGGGTCTCTGAAGTCATTTCTTGACTAACACTGTGGGTCATTGATCTCTTTTTTCTGTTTCAGTTTGCTGGAGTGTGGTATGAAATCGCGCTGACAAAGAACCCTTACCAGCTGCTTCAGCAGTGCGTGCGCAACGAATATTCTTTCGGTAAGAAAGCTCCGCATCAGATGAAAGTGTCATCAACTTAGAACTTAATGATTGATCCACTGACATTTTACTTGATATCATGGATACATTTGGTGTAACGAATGAGAAAATGTCTTTCCAGATGGCACGAAATTCGCCGCCAAGTCAACCGGCATCAACGCCGAAGGAAGCCTGATGCGGCGCAACGGACAGATCTTGCCGATGCCTCTGGGAGAACCCAACCTGTCCATCGACTACGAGGGATGTGAGTATTTGGAAAGCGCGCTTTTCCTTACGCTGGCTGCTGTGTGTTTGTTCAAACTGAGCTGGTTGTTGACGGGGCTGATGACGCCTGATTCTTGTATTCGCAGCCTTCATGGCGCCTTTCGTCATCCTGGACACGGACTACGACAACTTCGCCTGCATTCACTCCTGCGTGGACGTGAGTCAAGGCTACTTCGCGGACTTCGCCTTCATCTTCTCCCGCACCCCAAGCATGTCGGACAAGCACCTGAAGCGCTGTGAAGCCGCCTTCAGGGACATCGCCGTCGACACCTCCCGCTTCGTCAAGACCGTCCAGGGATCCTCCTGCCCCTACGACACTCAGCAAGCTCTCTGAGCGGTTTTGGAAGAACGGAGTCGAGCGTGTGTTAATGAAATGACTGGAAGAACGCCTTAGTAATTACAGTAAAGATTTTCTAATGATTACTTTTTCGATATCTCATTAACCTAACAAAGCAAACGAAAGGAAAAGAAAGGAGATAATGAATAAAATATAGCATACAAAATTACAGTCCATGAAAGCGACGCACAAGCCAAGTCTTAGCAAAAGCAATGGGGTGTATTGTTAATTTCACTCCAGCTGAATGTAAAATCTTGATATGGTAGATCTGAGTTATATAAAGATAATAATAAAAAAGATTAGTTGTCATTCTTTAATTTTTTTCTGTCTCTTTCACTTTATAAGGATGAACTTACACACACACAAATGTATGCATCATTATCATTATTGTTATTATTATCATTATTATTATCATTAGTTTCATTATCTTTATTATCATTAGTTTCATTATCATTATTATCATTAGTTTCATTATTATTATCATCATTAGTTTCATTATTATTATTATCATCATAACTGTCATGATTATCATCATAAATGCAAGTACCACATTAGTTCCAAGACGCCAATATTACAAATACAAATCAAATACTACTACTACTACTACTACTACAAAAATCAAATACTGCTACTACTACTACTACAAAAAGAAAGGAAGAGCAGCACTAAAATGAAACAACAGGTCATATGCAAATCTCAATCACCCATAACAAAATATAAAGGTAATTACTTCAAGGATAAGTAATTACTTGAAGGAAGGAGAAAAAGACAAGTGATAAATTTTATTCATCTATGTCTGTCCACTGAAATCTGTTCATTATATAGATATTTCTGATTGTATATATTCTTTCTTTATTCATTATTCAATTTTCCCTTTACCTTATTGTAATATTTTGATTTTTATTGATTTATTTATCATTCTCCTTATGTATAGTAAAAGATGAATGACAATCTCTTCTTTCTTCCTTTCTTACGTAACGGTGTAACTCCTAACTAACTTACTAAAGAGCTAACTTCTGACTAATTCCTGACTAACTGACTAAATAAGTAACTTCTAACTGACTAAATAAGTAACTTCTAACTGACTAAATAACTAACTCCAACCTGACTATTTCCTAACTGACTAAATAACTAACGCCTAACTAAATCCTAACTAAATTAACTAACTAATGCCTAACTTACTAACTCCTAACTACCCCTTAACTTACACCTAGATAACTAACTCCTAACCAACTACCTAACGCCTAACTCCTAAATATTCAGCTCCTAACTAACTTACGCCTAACTCCTAACTACTCCTACTAACTAACGCGTAACTCCTAACTAACGGTTAACTAACTCCTAACTAACCAAGTAGCGCTTATTAACAAACTCCAAACACCTAACTAACTCCTAACTAACCAAGTAGCGCTTATTAACAAACTCCAAACACCTAACTAATTCCTAACTAACCAAGTAGCGCTTATTAACAAACTCCAAACACCTAACTAACTCCTAACTAACCAACAAATGCGTAAACTCCTAACTAACGCCTAATTTACTATATATGTATATATATGCATATACATACACATACATACACACACACACACACACACACACATATATATATATATAGATAGATAGATATATGTATGTATGTATGTATGTATGTATTCGTATTCATGTTGACAAATGCAGAAAAGGTATAGATGAGCATGAATATATTCCCAATACAAGAGGTGTATGTGAGGTGTATTTTATATCCTCGTCAGAAATACAAATACTAGAAAAACACCTGACGGCTGTGACCTCCCATTCGTTATCCGCATAATTGATGCTGCAACCTTCAGATGATTTGAATCTGCCCGATGCTGTGTTGACATTTTTCTCCGTCGCGATGTAAGCAGCTTCCATAATTCTTCTTTTCCGTTTGTTCAATCCTCCATGGATTACTTCTGCTTCCTTCCAGTTCGGTGGATGTTCAGCTTCATCTAGAGGTACCACCATGGCGTTGGAAGTCCTGCGGTGACGATGTTTGCTGATCCTGGTGTTGAAACTGCGGCCCGTTTAACCAAAGGATGTTGATCGCCTGGGAAATGCTACATGGCGGTAATATGAGAGAGTTATTATTAGAAGGTGCAGGGTCTGATCACCACCTTTCTGAAGTTTAAGGGGAAGCGTCTGGGACATTTCTGTTTCATGGAAGAATTAATTATATAGGCAACCTCATCCTCAAGAAATTCAGGGCTGCAGATCCTCAGTGCTGTGAAAAAGAATATATTACAACACCAGATTTTTTTACTGCTTTAGGCCGAGTAGTAATGGATATAATCATCTTCATTCGTAGGTTTTCTGCCTTTAGAGAAATGTTGGCTGTCGTCATCCCGATGGATCAGAGTGTCCAGGACAGGTCATTTCTGACCCTCTTCCTCCTTCACGGTGAACTGGATCTTCTCGTGGACGGAGTGAAGCCGCGTCAGTGTATGTTGTAAGCACGACCTTCTGGAGAGTGACG